CTGAAATCAACAAATCCTACACACTGTGCCTTTAAATATTAAATCCTAAAAGAAAAGTGTTTGTATTTCGCTGTTTAAATCTTCTAGACCTTTAAAGGAACAGTGTGTAATAGCTAATGACATGTAGTGGTTGATGTTCCTTATTGCAACCAACTGAAAAATCATTYCACAACCCCTGTTAAYCTGTTGGGGCACCACMTCAGTTTTACCGATGATATTTATTCACCCTTTTTAATCAGACTCAGATTAAAAGTTAGTTATTTAATTTTACTGCAGATAAGAAGAGAGATCAAAGTTTGGCTGTTGTTTCCAGACTCCTTTGGAAATCATTCATGATGCCTTTCTAGAGGTACAGTTCGATAATTTCACCCAGGTTGGAGACATGGGTTTGTCTCAGATGGGGTGACAGCTTCAGATGAGGYCTCCTGTTGGCCGGAGTCCACACTGAGTCCAAACTGCCCATGAGGTCATCCCTTCAGAGCAGTGAGTAGGTTGTGGAGCAGACGGACGTTTCCTTCCGTCACAAACCCTGTAACAGGGTCGGCTTGATATCTTCTGCAGTTTAAATTAAATAAAGCYATATTCTCCTCAGWTGGTTGGCATCAGAGAACATCTCGACAGCTTGAGAACCAAAGCTAAATGGATTTTTCCAGTTTCTCTCCCAGCATTGCAGCTGGTGTTATTTCAAATCAATATAAACCATATTCAGGGTCACTGTTACTGAAAACAATTTCTCTGGAGAAAACATTTTCCTTTTGTTTCCAACAAAATGGCATCGAACATACAGCTTTTCTGATCTGTTTATGAGAAAGAAAGAAAAAACAGTCAAATAACATTTTAACACTGTTAAAAATGACTCAGTGTGATCAATACAAGACTTCAGTGTTGGGCACAGTTCCCCTAAAGCAGGGCTTTTCAAATGTTTTGGGTCTGAGGACCTGTTACAAGGGCGAAAAAATTCCAGGGACCCCCTCATAAACCCCATGCTGTTTTAAAAGATAATTTACTGTCATTTCAACCCCTAAATGCCATGGGAATGTATCTTTTTATTTAGTTTATTATGTTTGTTTTATTAGTTCATTGTTCCCCATGCATTTAAAAAAAAAACTAAATTAACAATTTAGCGAAATTTTTTGAGGACCCTCAAGATTSCTCTTGCACATCCCTGGGCGTTCTGGGACCCCAGTTCGAGAACCAAGCACTAATAGGGGAACTAATTTCTTGATTAGTGCTTTAGGGCTTTTGCCTTTTTTTTTTTTTATTCATTCGTGGATTAGCACTTGCTAAATTAATGGGCTAAATTTAGAAGCACTAACTGAGCTGTATAAATGTTATTGATCAACATTATTGTTCAAAGATGAGGGTGAAAGCTGTCATACATTTCGTTCATATACGTGTCAGGTCACGTATCAAACTTAAGGCCCACGGGCCAAATGTGGCCTGCGGGTCACTCCCATTTGGCCCGCCAAGGGCACTAAGTGACAGTATTCTGCACACAGTAAATATTGTTTCATGTTGACTGAAGAATGTTTCATGTGTCAACTGGATTATATTAGTGCTTTAGAATTAGCTTTTGCTAAAAATTTCAGTGCGTTAGTGCTTTAGAATTATGGGACCTAAATATTTGAGTCAGTGCTTTAGGGTTAGTGCAACTAATATTTAGATTAGTGCTGCCCACCACTGTAAGACTTGAATAAAATACCTGAAAAATCAGGTTACAGGAATGTTAATGATTCGTTTCTATTTACTTTATAATTAATCATGAAAATTTAAATCAGACTGTCGAGTCAGTTTGATCTGCAAGGAGAGATTAATGAAAAGCTCAGCCAGAGTTTGTCTCTAAGAAAGCTGTTTCAGAACAGAGTTCAAGAGAAATCCAGACCTGTCGGGTCCAGAGGTCATGTTTGAACGAGAAGCTTCTTCATGCTAAAACGTCTTTAGCTCAAAACTTATTTTTTATTTATTTTATTTATCATCTCTGCATCTGAAGAACATATTGCATCTTTTATTTGATAAAAAAAATCTTAATGAACTTTGTATTACTGCAGGTGATTTCAAAGGTAGACAGCTCTGATTACAAGTATTTACACCTCACAGGTTAATGCCTGCTTCAAAGCACTTTGCAGTCAAATGCCAGTAACACACTGTACTTGAACATGAGTGGAGCGCTGTGTTGATACTGCTAAATTGATTTATTATGAGACATGGAGACTTTTTGTGTTGGTGGGCAACCTCCCCATTTGCGAGTGACTGGTCGCATCAGTGACTGGAAATCTTTTCTAGTTGCACTATTAACAAATCAGGTTGCATTTATGACAAAATTGGTCTCACTCTATAGAGCCCTAACTAGTTGACCTTTTAGAGCTATCACAACCTAAGCTAAAACGATCAAATTTAGATGACGTTTTAAAAATTACAACTCCCAGGACAGATATGTCTAAAGTCCAGCCTAAGGGCCAATTGCAGCCTGTGTTCAAATTTCTACTGGCAAGTAGCCTCTGTGATAAAATAAGGAAATGCGTCCATCCACTGTTGACTGCAGCATAAAATACATGCTTACAAAATACACTTACCGGCCACTTTATTAGGTACACCTGTCCAACTGCTAGTTAACACTTAATTTCTAATCAGCCAATCACATGGCAGCAACTCAATGCATTTAGGCATGTAGACATGGCCAAGACGATCTGCTACAGTTCAAASCGAGCATCAGAATGAGGAAGAAAGATGATTTAAGTGACTTTGAACATGGCATGGTTGTTGGTGCCAGACGGGCTGGTCTGAGTATTTCACAAACTGCTGATCTGTTGGGATTTTCACCCACAACCATTTCTAGAGTTTACAGAGAATGGTCTCAAAAAGAGAAAATATCCAGTGAGCGGCAGTCCTGTGGGCGGAAATGCCTTGTTGATGCCAGAGGTCAGAGGAGAATGGCCAGATAGTTCGAGCTGATAGAAAGGCAACAGTAACTCAAATAATCACTCGTTACAACCAACGTCTGCAGAAGAGCATCTCTGAATGCATAACACGTCGAACCTTGAGGCAGATGGGCTWCAGYAGCAGAAGACCACACCAGGTGCCACTCCTGTCAGCTAAGAACAGGAAACTGAGGCTACAATTCTCAGAGGCTCACCAAAACTGGACAGTAGTAGATTGGAAAAACGTTGTCTGGTCTGATTCTTGCTGCGACATTCAGATGGTAGGGTCAGAATTTGGCATCAACAACATGAAAGCATGGATCCATCCTGCCTTGTATCAATGGTTCAGGCTGGTGGTGCAATGGTGTGGGGGATATTTTCCTGTCACTCTTTGGGCCCACTAGTACCAATTGAGCATCACGTCAATGCCACAGCCTACCTGAGTATTGTTTCTGACCATGTCCATCCCTTTATGACCACAGTGTACCATCTTCCGATGGCTACTTCCAGCAGGATAATGCACCATGTCATAAAGCACAAATCATCTCAGACTGGTTTCTTGAACACAACAATAAGTTAACTGCACTTGAATGGCCTCCACAGTCATCAGATCCCAATCCAATAGAGCACCTTTAGAATGGAACAGGAGATTCTCATCATGGATGTGCAGCAACTGTGTGGTGCTATCATGTCAATAAGGACCAGACTCTCTGAGGAATGTTTCCAGTACCTTGTTGAATCTGTGCCACAAAGGATTAAGGCAGTTCTGAAGACAAAAGGTGGTCCAACYCGGTACTAGTAAGGTGTTCCTAATAAAGTGGCCGGTGAGTGTATTTTTCACCAGAAGATGACAGATGCCATCCGATTTCTAAAACGAGTTTCACACCCCTGCCTAAAGGGCTTCATTAAAAAACGTGCTGCAATTTAGTTATTTGAAAAATTGACAGAATATTAATTTTATGGCAGTCTTTGAAGAAATAATAAAAAAATAAATAAAATGTGTGCTGCTAAAACCTCTGAGCTACCTTTGTTTTTGTCTCCTATAGAGGGTTGCTGACAGGTTGTATGCTGTTTACAAGGTCCATGGGAACTATGGAAGAGTTTTCAGGTTTGATTATAAACATACAAGTACAATAATACTTTATATGTGTACTGTATAAACTAATTAAGATTTGATTTTTTTACCCCAACCTTACTGTCAGAAAAAGTGCAATTCTTGCTCTGCAATTGTCTTGCTTCGTAATGAAAGGGAAAGTAAATAAATATGAAAGGCGTAGTGTGTGTGAGAGAAAAGATTTGTCCTGCTTTGTAGCCRATGTGTGTTTGCATCCATGTGTTAACTGCAGTGAGTGGAGTGCCATAGAGAAAGAGATGGGAGACGGACTGCAGAGTGCTGGTCATCACATGGATGCGTAAGCAGATACTGTCTTGTCCTAAATCCTTCTGCTTGTTATCAGCTCTTCAAATTGTTCACTTTATCAAAGACTTCAGCTGTGTTTTTAACACTGCTGGTTGTTTTTSTGTAGATATGCTGCCTCTATAGATGATATCTTAGAAGAAGAGGAACATTATGCAGATCAACTGAAAGAATATCTGTTTTATGCTGAAGCTTTGAGGTAAGTTTCTGAAGTGTTTCCCAGTGTTTGCTTCTAGCTTGAGTTTTGAACAAAGTTATGTTTTCATCTTGTTCACTTTTAGGACCGTACAGGAGTTTATTTAACAACCTAACATAGCGATACATAGTGACTAGGGCTGGGCAATAAATAAATAACAATATAYATCAAAAGAAACGTGAACAATCTCAATAGAAAATTTGTCTGATAGAATGTTGATAATTTCACTATACTCGCATCGGCACTTGAAAGACGTAAGCCGCTCGACCTCTCACGGCCTAACTAAGGAAGGTTGGTAACATACTCACAGTATGCTAGCAACAACCTGTTAAGTAACATGCACAGTAGCTGTTTCATGTTTMACCACTGTGGCTCATAACAGCCTAAAATTAAAAAAGAATAAAATGAAGTGAAGGGGGAAAAAATGATGCAACAGCTCAAGAGGAAATTGTTGATAAAAGAGGAAAGGTCATGTCACCAGTGTGGCAACCAACCAGCCTTTTTTTCTCCCAGTCCTTATTTCAAATAGGTAAAACAAACCTCTGATTAATAACGATCTATATGGACTGATATGCAACGGTGGGCACCAGTCCGCTAAAGCGCAAATCTGCTCATTTCAGACCTAGATATTTCATTTGCGCTTTAGGGGGTCTTACTAATTTTTATAATTCATAAGCAGATTTGCGCTTTCTAAAATAAAAATGCATACTGTGATGGACTTGCGACCTGTCCAGGGTGTACCCCGCCCCTCGCACTGTGACTGCTGGATATGGGCACCAGTGACCCACGTGACCCTGAAAAGGAAGAAGCGTGTACAGAAAATGGATGGATGGATGGAAAATWAAAATGCAGTACCAATAATAACTAATTATTTACCAGTCATTATTATCTTGAACAGCAGAAGGTATGGCTGTCAATGAATCACAACACATGATCTGTCCAAAAGCACCCCTCCCAGATAAACACACTTATTGGAAACATATAAATCCTTGCTGACTGTTGCTCTCAGTCACAGTTCTCATTTCCCACAATGCTTTGTGTCTGCTTACGTAGCAGGAAGGCAATGTTTAGTACTCCCTTTCCCAGCAAAAACAGTAAATGTTTGTAATCCATACTAAAATTTTGTATGTATTGATTTATTTTACTTTACAATCAGAGCTCTTTTTTTAAGTAAAGTTTAAACGCTGGAGCTCAATACTTGAAGTAATTGGTCGAAGCAATCCGCCAACGGGGTTAGACAGACATCTAGTGGTCAACTGGAGCAACTACATAGAAAACTTTCGTTTCCCGTCACAAATCAAATCCGTCATGTACCCAGAATGCATCGTTTCTGTTTTCCAATAAACAGTTTTAAAATTGCTTTATTGATGCTTCTTTAATGAAAAATCTACAACAAACAAAAGAAGAAGACAAAGAMGCAGCCGAACTAGCAATCCTCAACAACTTTTTAATTTTTACACCAGGAGCCAAAGTTCTGTTTCAGGAAATCACATCCCCAGCAACCAGCGGTTGTAGGATTAAGCTGTAAAAAAGGTTCATACACCACTAGTTGGCAGTGTTGTGCATATATTGTACAGGAATTGTTGCCAGCTAGTAAGTGTCAAATTGAACTTGCGCTTTAAAATTAGCTTCCGCTAGTTTTTCAATGGCATAAACATTTTTGAAGTTGTGGACCTAAATATTTTCATAAGTGCTTTAGAAATTGTGGAGCTAATTTTTGGGTTACTGCTGCCTACCACTGCTGACATGAAACACTTACATTGTAATATATATACCAGCCACATCACCCAGCCCTAGCGCTGGTCCATAACCCAATTGTAATATTCTATAGAGAATTTGGGACAGAACCCCAATATTAAAACAGAGCATACAAAAATGGCAGACAAAGCAGCAGCATCCTGTTTCTGCTCCTTCATCTTCAAGAACAGAGACTAGAGGCAGAAAAATAATGATGCTTTAAACCAGGAGTTCTTAACCTTTTTGACCTCGGGGCCCAATTTGTTGAACATAAAGTGACACAAGGCCCAGTCAGACATTACCAATGTATGGATCAAAAATGATAATTATTCTAATCTAAAACTTGCTTAAATTTTTATTGTATTTACATCATAACTTAACTATCATAACTATCATAACTAAATTAAATACACTTACAGTTTAAAAGTAAAACTCCTGTCAAATAATTACAAGACATGATTATGACAAACAATTTTTATATTGTAACCTGCCCATAACAATTATTTGAACAAATACAACGTTCAGTCAACAGACCACTCAGGCTTATCAGCATAGATATATAT